TTTGAGTTCAAGGCCAGTCTGGGCTATATAAAGGAGTTCAAAGCCAGCCTACACAGCACAGTGAGAACCTACCTGAGAAAGAAAAGAAAAGAAGACAGAGAGAAACTTCCCCCAAGTGTTTCAGTGTATTGAGAATCCACCTGGTAGTGTTGGTCGAATGTGCTGTTAAATATATACCACTGTTTGCCTTCTTGTGGATGCTTCAGTAGCTGTGCTTAAAGGATTATTGACAGAATATTACTTTTTATAGCAGAGCTACAACTGTCCAAGTCCTAAATAACAGCTATTGCCGGACCCATGGGGGAAAATGCCTAATAATTTTCCAAGTTCTCTGTGTTAGTGACAGGTTTCATGCATACAGTCAGCTATTAAAGCATTAGAGTTTCTTTCATTTCTTAATCATTAACAACTTTAGATCTGATTGCCTATGGAGTTGCAAGCTGTTAAAATGATCATTTGCCTCTTGCTAATTTTGAATTCGAGAGCTGTTTCTTTGATGCAGCGCTGGTCTTTCTCAAGAACACACAACAACTCAAGAGTGATAAGTATCTACTATGTTAAACCTAATTTAAAGATAATAAATCTGTAGAATAAATGTGGGCAATGCTCTTACATAATACTGAGTTCTCTTTTTTAAGGATTCAACATAGGCAGGATTTTTCTTTTTTTTTTTTTCCTAGAGGAAAACTTCCCTGATCTCATATTTTAATATAAATAGTGATGATTTTATGAAGAGTATGGAGAGGCAGGAAATCTAAACATTATTTTTCAATGCTGGAAAGTCATTTGCAATTCAGCCAGATTTAAGATAATATAGAATTAACATAGTGAATCAACAGATTATTTTTTATTTTAAATAGTAAAAAAAAGAAAAAATGAAAACAAATAACAAGAACAAAGACAAAAGCAAAGCAACATAGAACAATACAAATGGTGCAGAATTTCAAAACAAGAATAGATAATTAACAATGGTTGCTATATTACATATTGTTATCAAATTTTTTGCTTAGATTATCAAACATAGGCATGCAAGATTGATCAAACAAACACTAACTCCTCCTTCCAATATTTTTCCTTGTCCTTTTAATTTTTTTAATTTTTTAAAGGGAATATAATAATAATAGCTGAGACATTAGAGACAATGCACATTTAAAAGAATAAGATGACAAGATGAAAGGTATTCAACCATGGTTATTCTATTGCATATTGCTGTCCTATTTTTTAAAAACTTATTTATACTTAGCTTTTTTATAACCATGCATATAGAGTATTGTACCAATAGGAAGTGCTCAATAAATACTTCTTAAACTGACTTACTATGCTAAAATCAATTGATGGTATGATAAAATGAAATGTTATCTCAAACATTCATTCTTCAGCCATCTATTTAAAGATAATTATTATATACTCCAAATATAGTTTGTGGGGAAAATTTTAATTAACTTACTTTTTGAAAAATGACTGCTTCTTAATGTTAATGAACACACTTCTACAATATTGGGCTGAAGTACTCCGTGTTAGGACAAGAGGCTCCTGTGGAAGAGGGACTGGGAGCATACAGGCAGCTTAACATGTCTCAGAAACTTGTGACACTGACTCATAAACCCCATTTTCAAAGATGTTGTTGGGTAGAGCGAGGGTGAGCCTAGGCATTGGAACTGTTTGGAAAACCAACTAGATGTTGATGTACAATAAAGCTTCAAAACAGCCAAAATATCCCTTGTAATCATTTCTTCCAAGAAATAGTCACAAGCATTTGTTTAGTCTATATTTAATGTGATTTTCTTTTACCCACTATTAAACTCCTTTCAGGAAGACTCAACTCTGATGTGATGATAAGGATGAGATTTTTGCTCTTAGGGAATCAATAAAATAAACCTTGTCCTTTGTTTGTCCAATAGTTCTGATTTCAGAGGACTCCTTTTAAACATTACAATCAAATACATTGTGCATATACCACTGTGTGTTTCATTACTTAAAATAAAGCAGAACAAAATAGAAGAGAGATAAATAAGAAGTCGAGAGAAATTCAAATATTTCTCAAAATTACATATTCCATTGTTTTTAAAATATTTCAATATATATGCTAATTTGCCTCATTTACTCAAATAATTTATCTTAGTTCTTTGAAAAGAAACTTTGTGTTATGTTTCTTCTTTGTTAGAATATTTTTGGTTTATGTCTTGTACTGAGTAACTAGCTTGAAGATAATGATACACAGTGTAATAAGTATTATTTTATTATTTGCTTATAAAAATTTGTTTTATTTTTTCATGTCATACATTAACCATCTGTTCTGTGACCCTTGTTCCTGCTCTTCTTGGAGTGATTCTTCATGGCAAACCTCTTCTAAATTTTTCCCCAATACCTTTTTCTGAGAAACACAGTAAGAGATTCTAGTTTATAGCAGTTTTATTAGTAACCAGTGACAGAGACACAAAGTGTATTTTTGCCTGTCTTCTGATTCACTCAGTATACACTGCGCTACCCTTACTATTATGGTTATAATGAAAACATTCGTTTACCAGTTTTGAAAATACAGTTTCCTGTCTTTTCCTTCATCACCACTATGTGGGACCTTTTTCTCAGTATTCACCTGGATTGTTTATCAGAATTTACCAATCTGGCTCCTTTTTTGCCCTATAAGCTGGTCTTGACACTCGTCCCACATAATATAGTATGCCCCTAATTAGTGCTTCCCACTCAGTAGAATTATTAAGCATAATCATGCATTAATTATAACTCATTGTCATTTTGATTGCATATAAAAATGTCATATCTGTTTCATTTAGCAACTTCTGCTCTGATACTAATAGCTACCTCTATCTTTCTAAAAAGAAGATAATTTTGCTTGTAGGCTACAGTTTTGTGAAGCTGAGGGTGCAGCTAGATTGTAATGTAGCATCTTCCTCTGAAAGCATGTACTCTAAGAGAGATAAGTGAGACTTTCCTTTTTTTGGCTAAAATTCACGTGCCTTTGTTATTCTTACCTGATACATCAAATGCTGGGTAGGAAAAAGTAATATGATAAAGTATAGTTGGTCAAAATATCATATAATTAATTTACAACCCTGTAGTAAAATAATAAATTGAGGTCTGTAGGGCATATTTCTATTTGCCTTTCCTCTTGGAATAAAAAGTTAAATTCCTTTAACCACTCTAGTTTAAACTCCTTGAATCCCAAGTTTTGCTCATGCCATGAGGAAACCTGGTCAAACAGTTTTAGGTTATTTTATTAGTGTGGTGCAATTTTATAGTAGAACAAAGACAGCTAATGCCAGAGTAAACATGGAACTAATCCATGAAGACAAAAATTTTCTAAATGTAGTAAGATCGCAGCCATCCTAACCACCTAGACACAATGGGTAGCAACTTTTCCCACACAAATACACAGAAAACTTACCTCACACAGTTCATATGCTTCTAAGTTAATTCTATAAGGAGGAAAAGAAATCAGAAAACATTACGTCTTTCATATGTAACACTTCTAGCACATCACGTCCCAACCCTTCCATTGTTTCTTGTTGTGGTCCCAACTGAAAAGAATTTTTCAGTTTTCCCATGAAATGGGCTTAAGTTCTTTTGTATTACTACAAAATAACACCTAATATTCTGTTGTTCAAAGGTCATTACTAAAATTATATCTGTCAGGATGAAATGTGTCTTACCCTTGTTTACCCTCTATCTTCTGACTTGCTTTTATAGAATTTTTGAGAAAAGCTGATACATAAGAAATAAAAGCAAATGTGTTTATGAGAAACTGCTATTTTCTTAAAAGTTTCATGTGTCCAAATTATAAGTGATAGTATATATGATGGATAACATGCAAGACTGACTCATTTCTTAAATCAGCTTGAGCATTGATGATGTGCTGCAGCAGGCCTGTGCACTTCATACCTGTTTTCAGAGGGCAGGGATCTTGGGTATATTAGAGACTTGACATTGGTATTGATAATAACTGCGTATTAATGATACTGTTGAGTCATGATATTAGCATAAGGATCAAGTGTCTGGATAGTGAAAATATTGTTCTTTTGTTAAAAATATATTAAAAAATAAGAAAATAAATGAAAGGATAAGCACCATAATTCAAATGCAGTTATCTCCAGGTACTTTATTTTAATTCCTTTATTTCTAAATTTCTGAAATGGAGAAAATTAAGTGCCATTTACTTATGTTAACTTATCCTAGGAAATTTTCCCATACTTTCTCTAGTCTTTTTTTAGATATATTTTGCTTCCAGGAAGTCTTTGCTGCTGAAGCATTATTTTCCTCTCTTAGCAGTTTGGAAAATATCTTAAGGTTGTATACCTAGTACCTAAAGATAAATGCATGCCTACACCTGACTTTGATGGAGAGGGAGGAAAGCTAGGTAGGTTGTAGATGGATTTTTATGTGTAATTTCCTGCAAATTGATGGAGCCTTTGTATTTGCAGCTGTTAATAAGAATTAAGGGCAGTGAATGTGTTCAAATATATGAGTGGTTTGGAGAGATATGGAGAACAATATAAGCTTTGCAGGCTGATAATAGTTTAAAGATATTAGCTGAAGTTCATTCATCAACATTTCGTAGGCTGCAGTAAGCCCTTACATCTTCATTCAGGGTAAAGTTCAAATACACACATGTTAATAACGTTCCTGCCTTGCTCAGTTGGCTATTAAAAGTTGTTTTCAAAATACGTGCTGAAACTATGTGGACATGTTTGTTGCTGCCATGCAGACAAATACCTTATAATTCTCTTATTCTTAGGTAGATTTCCAGATTTTCAAAAATTAATCCTGTTTCTCATGCTCCAGCCCTGTTTTTTCTCACAAGTGGGGGGGGGGGGGAGTTTGCATCCTAAACCTAACTTTATGTGGTTTTCAAGGAAAAAAAGTTCTATAACTCTTATGAGAAAGAAAAGGAGATGGAATGAGTTAAATGCATTAGGAATTTTGGGTAACATGGAGCAGCAAGGAATAATTCGGTCTGTTTGATTTTTCTCATCTAATATTTTTAGGTACAAGCCTATGCAGAAAGTGGATGGGGTTGCAGATGGTTTCACAGGAAGTAGTCAACAGACAGGGACATCTGTTGAGCAAACCGTAATCGCCCAAAGTCAACATCATCAACAGTTTTTAGGTATGTTAAGGGGTGCTTCATACTAGTTGTTGTTAAGATTTTGAAGAGAACAGTAATCCCTTCTCTAACTGCGGTGTCTGTTTCCAGCTGCTAATGACATAGAAAAGTTTTTTGCGGTGGTGGTGTCAGAGCTCTGTACATCACACGGTGACTCTAGTTCAGTCCTATTTTGTCACGTGTACTTGAGCTTATTTTTAAAAATATCTAGAGCTATGAAGTATTTTAACTGCATATGAATTATACTTTATTACTATGAAAGTGTTTTCCATAATTTTTATATTAATTGGATTTTGTGGTCAAAATAGTTTTGTCTGCTTTCAGTAGGAACTTCAAATAACAAAAGAATTTTCCTTTCCTGCTTACAAAATTGCATATACATGCAGTCTCAAATTACAAAATAAATTATTGTAAACCTCAAAAGTAAATTTATGTTTCTAAACTTCTGTGATTTTATAGATAGTACACGTGTTATTACTGAAATCCTTAGGAAATCGAACTCGAATAGTTTGTAGATTACTGCCGTCATCAAAGGGGCAACAGTGGCCATTTGCTGTAATTAACAGCTCTTCTAAACATGAGTGTGCACAGTTCCCAGCACAGCATTTCAAGATGAATACATGCTCTCAGAGTGTATGACTGCGTGTCTACACTTTCCAACATAGACGACTAAAATACCCTTTCAGGTAGAAACAGCTATCTAATGTTGAAATTATTATGTAATATTTCCCAAAGTAAAAATCCTGAAGTATTTTAAAAGTGGACTGTTAAGCTTTCAACAAGACGTTTTGATGTTATTTTGTGCTTCTCATTCTACGATAGCTTTTAGACAATAATGCAAGTATATTCTGGGTTACCTGGAAATGAGACCCAAGTACGGTTGTACACTTTTAGTTTCCACATTTGCATTTGAGCATATTGTAAGGTAGACACCAGTGTTAACTGTCCAGGGCTGAGGAAAAACCAGACTCACTAGAGTGTGCATTCTCCTTTCCCTTGAGGAAGGCTAATTCCGTGTGCTCTAGGTGGAGACCTGTTTCCCATCCAGTCATTTGAATGCAGCAAAGCAATGGAGAAGAAAGGGGCCACCCCAAAGCACACGCTGCTATGTCCTGTCCAGCTCATAAGTTCCCATGTGACAGCAGGTGTTCCCATGTCTGTTGCAGGAGATAATTCATAGAACAATAGCATTGTCCTTCACATCAATTTATGTTAATTTTAATGTCATTTTGTAGTTTTTATTCTATTTGTTCTTTAATACTTTGGGTTTTGTTTCATAAATATGAATGTATGGGTTTAAAACTAAGTTTATTTTAGGTAGTTAAGTAGCATAATAATAAAAATACATAGAATTGCTTCAGGCAAGATTTAGATATTTTGCTTTTAATAAGGACCTATGCTACTCAATTTCTAAGGTAGTTGTAGTGGAAATTTAGTTGCTACAAAAGTTGAAAGTATATTTCCTCTATTCTTACATTTTCTGCTGATGATGTTGCTAAGTTCGCTTGCAAAATAATAATTTAGAAACTTGTTCTTTTGGCCACTGACCACTAAATTTCTTTTATGTTTTAGTCTTTTGGAATCTTTCTTATTAATCTGTAATTGACATCATCCACATAGCTTTTTTTCTGATGTGTTGTCATGGTAACAGATGCATCACGAGCACTTCCAGAGTTTGGAGAAGTTGAAATCTCTTCTCTGCCAGATGGTACTACCTTTGAGGATATCAAGTCACTTCAGAGTCTTTATCGAGAGCACTGTGAGGTAAGCCTTTGCAAACATCGTATGAACATGAACTGAATTTTGCCAGACAACTTGTTAAAAGAAAATAATCAAGCTTTTCCTGGGGGACTCAGGAAGTCAGCATTAATTCTTTTGAGTACTAATAAATTTATTTTTCTTCTTTTTGGGCTTGGAGAAGTGAGGAAGACAGCAAAGTGAAAATAAATTTTACTTCACATTTTTTAGTTCTAATCTTAACTCTCTGCAACAATGCTGTCTCTAAATATTCTACAGAAATACTAACATAGGTGGTAGGATAGATGAACAAGGGAACATTTTTGCATTATTGTTTTTTGCATTCTTCTTAATGCAGAAGATTGGTTATAACTTCCATATATCATAGGGAACCAGATAAGTACAATCTTACAGTATATAGACTTTTATACAGCCAGAGAATGGATAACTTCAAATATACTAAAATGGAACTAGTTCCAGGATTTAATATTCAAGGAAAAATCAAGATGCAAATAGTGTGTATAGCATATAACTATCATTTGAGTGAAAAAGAACATGTGTACACCTCACCCAAAAAAGAACAAGAAAATATTAATAGTGGTTCATCTTTGTGAAGAAAACTGTGTAACTTAGTAAAGAGACTCAATTTTTCAGTAGATGCTTTTGAGTGTTACAACATATATGTGTGTTCTACTAAAAATAACTTCTAAAAATGTTCAGTAGACACGTTAGGTGTTTATTCCAGAAGTTAAGGCTGCTTGCTCCTCTCCCTCCCTCTTTCCCCCTCTCTCCCTCTCCTCTACCTCCCCATGTTCCTCTTTCTCTCCCTCTGCCTCTTTTTTCTTCCTCTCCCTCTCCTCCCTTCCTCCCCCTTTTTCTTTTCCCCTCCCTCCCATCTCCCCCTTTTTCTTTCTATTAAGGGTCCTTGGTTTTTCAGTCCTTACTCCTGTTCCCCTTCCCTCATCAGAACTGGCAACACAGTCTAGGGTTGTGAACTTTCTCCACATAGGTATATTAATGGACCTGCCACTCACCTAATACAAAAAAATAACAGATTATACAGTTCATTAATTTTTAAATTTTATTTATTTATTGTTTTGTATTTAGGACAGGGTCTACTCATAGTGATCCTCCTGTTTACAGCCTCCCAGTGCCACCAAGCCCAGTCTCCATCACCATCTCAGCACACCCTGGGGGCAGGGCCAGTGCGGCAGGCCTGGGGATTGAACTCCTGGTCCCTGAGCCTGCCTAAGCAAACGCTTTAATCCACTGAGCTATTTGGCCGGCTCTGATTACACAGTTTTAAGTGCTTCTCCTTTTGAAAGAGGATTATATTTAGAAATTTAAATAGCTTTATTCATCTGGTATTTGTGGTCTGCTTAGAAGTTAAATATTATCTTTTGGATTTCAAGGCAGCCCTCCTGGTTGCTGGAAGTGCAGTATGCAGTACAGAGTTTTAGTTTATAACATTCACAGTTTGTTTTTTTTCTCACCCGAGAATAAAAGTGGCTCTGATGCATCTGAGTGCTTGTCAAGGATGCTAGGTTATTAACAACCACGTAGAAGTTTGCTCCTTAGTAACACAGTATTTTCCACAAGTGTTCATACCATGCTCTATCAATCCCCAGTATTTTTTAAAATACTGCCTGGCACTTAAGATTCATTTCCCTTTGATGATAACGACACTTTTCTTGTTTTAGGATTTCTGGATTATCCTCATGCCTATGGAAAAAGTTCTTTCTAAATCTATCATCACATTCAGTAAAGTTTCTATAAAGATTCTCTAAACAATTTATTTCTCTGTGTTGAGATGAATTCTGCTGTAAACCAACCAGCCTATTCATTTCTAATTTGACTTTTAAAGAATTTCTCTTATTTTTTTGGAATATAGGTTGGAGCATTATTACTAACATTGCTAAAGATTGATAGTAAGGTTCTAAATAACAAAATATTAAAATATTGTTTGGAGTATAAAATTTTCATGTGCATACCAGTTGTCAAAAATAAACATACCTATACAAAGAGATGGTGACATATACAACAATCTGTGGGGTAAATGGTAGTTTCAAAATGCTCCCCACTCATTTTGAAGTGTGAAGTGTGCAAACTGTCTTTCATGGGCTATTGTGATATGTATGGAAAAGAAAAAATTTTTCCTTCTTAATTTTCTAAGATTTCACAATACAGTTGCCTGAACTTCATAATCCCATCCTGCAAGTAGTCACTTGTTCTATAGAATATGAATTACTTCGATTTATATTTCTCTAAATATTTTAGACTAAACATTTCAAAGAGGATGGACAATGAAAAATGTTTATTCATTTGTAAAACTCTTCACAGGAGGCTAACACTTTTCCAGAGTTATCTGAGATACTTGTTTGAAGAGATATTGAATATTGGATGTATTTTTATTCCCTTCTTGCCTTATCTCATATTTTTAAGTTTATATGTTTAAGGAAAATTTAATATATGCCCATATTCCCTATTTTGAATTATAATTTGTTTATCAAAGATACTTTGTAAGGTTAACATTTTATTATGTAAGGAATAGGTATATTGTTACATACATTTGCTGCTATATATATATATATATATATATATATATAGCAATCTCATAAATAGACATAGGTAAAGTTTTCACTTTTAGAGGCATCTTTTGTAGTAAACCTAAAGTACACGTAAGAAAGTAGCTGTAATAATGTGCTTTGGGAGAAGGTTTTTATTTTTCCATTGGGTTGAGGAAAATCTATCTTCCGTTTTCTTTCAGAGCTTCTGTTTTGTATTTTTGAACTGATTCATCTGCTGAGGACTGTGTTAATTTATTACTTGCAACATTCCCTACTAATTCCCAGAAAGTGCCTCCAACAGATGTTGTTTAATATTTGAATTAGTCTTAGAGTATTTTTAATATCCATTATTCTCTGTATCATAGATATGGCCATTTTTCACAGATGCACAGACTAAAATTATGAAGTTCTGGTTTGCTTTTTTTTTTTTTTTTTTTTTTTCTGGCCTAAAATGCTAAGATGGATGCTAGATTGCCCCTTATTTTCGCTCACTTCTGTAAATTCTTAGATCTTAATGGGTTACATTTACCCATCCTCATTTTTGATGGTATCAAGCATATTATACAGAGTACTTCAGGACTTTTTAATACTCAAAATAATCGTAGAATTATATTTGTTGCATAAACAAGTTGTTTTTGGTTCTATGACTTTCTATCTGAAGGCTAAGTTATTAATTGCAATGATAGGCTGAAAGTATAAATGATCACCAAAAGTTATAGGAAATTGAGATTTTTAGCATCATCAAAAAAGCAAAAAGCAGAAGGAAGGGAGGGAGGGAGGGAAGAAAGGAAGGAAGGCAGGCAAGCAGGCAGGCAGGCCTCAAAAAAAACCCTTGATGGACTGGGGAGATAGCTCAGAGGCATAAGTGCCTGCCTGACATGCTCAAAGTCCTGCATTCGTTCCCAGTACCAAGAAAATGAATAAATAAAGCCCTTGATCAACTAGGAAAATTGGTCTTAAAGCTAAAATTAAGGATAAAACAAAGGTGAAGACATCAAGATTAATAAAAAAGAGAAGCTCCTTTGGGGGGTTTCCTGTGACACTTTAGTAGTTGAAAGATGATATTGTTTTTGAAGGTAAAGAATTTAAAATATAGCTTTATAGTCCTGCTTATATGATATATTTATCACATTTATTAAAGCTAATTAGTTAAACTATACTTGTTCTTATTTTGGAAAGAATTGGCTCAAATATATCTCATTTGGTGGCATTATTTTACCTGAATTTCATCATTCAAAGGTGGATAAAAAAATACTGGAAAATTTGGCATCTCAGAGATTTGGCATTAAAAACTGCTACTACATTTTACAAGAGAGTAACCTAAATGTTAGCTGATACATAAAAAGGTCCTAGGAGTGTGCAGAAATTAGATTAGATTCTCTGATGTTGAGTGCAAGGCATGTCTGAACAAAGATGGAGGGCTGCTGTGCCCACTTTCTACCCAGAGAAAAGCATCCTTGGGAAGCTTGCTAGCTCCATCTTTTCTGCCCAGCCATGAGCAAAAGGGACCCTGGAGTCCCAGTCAGCAGCTTTAGCAGGGCTAAATGAGCCCTGACTCTGTCTACCAGAGATGAACACCACCACGCTCTTCACTCACCCGCTTAGATGGCCAGTGACCACCTAGCCCAAAAATGAATGACGTAAAAGACTACAATTCTGTCTTGGTCTGGGATTAGGTAAAGTGATAGAAACCATGGAGGCAAAAGGAAGCAGCAGGTAAAAGAATGAAAGAGAAGAAAGAAGGAAATACAAAGGAAGAAAAGCATGAAAATGGAGAATGAAAAGAAGAGTGAGAATAGTGTAGAAGGCCTTTATGGTAGGAATACAAGTTATACAGCTTAACATTTCAGGGTTATTTTTGCCTTTCATTTTCTAAGTGAGTGTCTGAACCCGGGATTTACCACATAAAATCTTGTTGGATTAGGCTGCCTTTCTGTATCCTCATAAGTGACGCTGTGAGGTAACACCAGTACTGTTTTGTTTTTCTAGGCAATATTGGATGTTGTTGTAAACCTTCAGTTTAGCCTGATAGAAAAACTGTGGCAAACATTCTGGCGCTATTCTCCCTCAACTCCAGCTGACGGCACTACCATTACTGAATCAAGGTCAGAATCAATATGCTTTCCCAATTCATTTTCATGACTTGAGTAGATACGTCACAGCCAATAAATTAGAAATATGTATACCAGTTGTGAAACTTACCTAATAACATTAAGTGAATAGATTGATGCTTTGGCCACTTGAAAAATAAACCACAAACTGCTCTCTTGAGGTTTCAGTGTATATATAGCTCCAATTTTTATTGATTTGGGGAACTATACTAGAGCTATTTCATCCTCATGGAATTACTATCATATCTTTCAGACCACAGAAAATATTAATGTACATAGTCAGCTCTGGGGGAGTGTTTGATTGGAAAAAATATCTATATCTCCAGCCATATGGCACCAGTGCAATGGTGATATAGTTCTAACCTCAGGAATATTTGATAAACTATTTTTAAAGTCCATTTTCTTTTTTATCCTCATTTGCCATCTATTCATTTGCTACATTTATTCACACCAGCAATCTGAGTGAAATAGAAAGTCGACTTCCGAAAGCAAAGCTGATAACTCTGTGCAAACATGAGTCAATCCTGAAATGGATGTGTAACTGTGACCATGGGATGTACCAGGCTTTGGTGGAGATTCTCATCCCCGACGTCCTTAGACCTATTCCTAGTAAGTTAAATCCAGACGACTACGGGTGCTTTTGTTCTCATACATTCCACCCAGGAAGTTTTGGGAGGTGACATTGCAATCTGGAGTGATCCGAATTTCATTTAAGTTTGTTGAACAGAAAATACACAACACAATATTGCATGAAAGCAGCCTGGACCCTAGCTGTAGGAAGAACGAAGAAGTGATCTGTGTTCGAATTTTATTTTTGTGTTTGTGATTAAAAAAAAAAAAACAATAAAAAACTTATAGCTCTGATCACCCCAATAAACTAATTGCAAAAATACTCTGTCAGTCAACCATGAAAAACTTAGTGCTACAAAGGAGAAAGTCCCCTTCCCTTTACCCTCAAAACTTACTGAAATCTGTAATTGCAGGCTAGCCCTTTCCATGGCTGTTTTTGATTTGGTTTCTAATGAAGTTGAATTCCTTCATAAAAGCATTTGCTTTGCCATCATATTAAGTACTACAAATTCAATTTCCATTAACAGTAATGGTTAACTGGCATTTTGAGAGAAAAATCCATGTAAATACATAAACATTGTGTCCCCAGTATGAAGCAAATGCAAAGTACATAGATAGCTCACATTACCTTTTAAAGTACTGGCACTTTTTAAACTACCTTCTAGCAAGCAAATCTGTTTTCTACTAGTATCAATATAAATGCTACTACAGATACTGTTAGAAGTAGTCGAAACTATTGTACACCTTCATGTGTTTGAGCACACAGGAGTGACCTTAACATTAATAAAGTAAGAGCAGTCTTCTAGCTTGAGAAACTGACAACTATGTAGCTCATGTACCCTGTTCACAGGGACTTTCCATTAAATTATCCTAGAAAATATGCAAGTCGGACTTAACAGAAGGAAAATGGAACGATATTAATGTTTGTATGTTTATACTGTAATTTTTCTAAACATGATAAAGAACAGTGGAAGGTATTAACTGTTTATTCCTTACCACCTTAAAGTAGATGCTTAGGTATATATTTACATATAAGATCAGCGAACATATATGTGAATGTATGGAGGAATAAGTAAATATGAAAGAAATCGTGCTGTTACTGTCTCAAAAGTTTATAAATTGCTAATGTGTTCCACTCTACCTGAACCAAGTTTCCTGACTAAACATTAATGAAAAATGATGTTGTTTTGGAAAATGTTACTATGTAAATTCTCCACTGGCTTATGTTCCAGAATCTGATCTTCTTTGTTTCTCTCTTGCTCCCTGTGCTCTGAGTGATAATCTCCAGAGATGTTTCAAAGAAGTTGCATAGGATAGCTCATTAGCCTATGACATCTTGCCACCAACGTACAGTTTCTCTCATGAGATACAAGAAGAGTTGTCAGTGAGTGGTTTCTTTTTTGAGGCAAATCAACAACATCAATATTCATTAAACAGTTCTGAAATCTGTTGCTTTAGTTACCTAATTTAAATCCTATGTCAATTTTAGTTGACTTTAAGTTTCAGAATTTTAAATACATAGTACCCTTGCCCTTTGTGTTTTGTAAATTTTAATTTGAAAAACAATTTATTCTGTTGAGTAGTTTGTCACTACGTTCAGCAGAAAAGTGAATTCTTGTAAATTGTAAGCTGCAGTGATGTATCACCCTACCAAGGAAACTTGGAAATTTAGAGCTCATTCTGCAGTAAGACTGAACAATATAATGTTTGTAATGTAATTTAGATAGCTGTCTTCTTGTAGTAGACATTTTAAAACTGATTTTCAACCAGTTGAGACAAGTTTTGAAATAGATTTCAAACTGTCCATTTATCAGTCTTTAAAAGTTGCCAGAGTCAATCTGCATAATTTTGATCTTGCATAAATCCCTTTAAAGAGAACAGTACTTAATTTTATTTTTTAAAATTGTATTTTCTTGGCTACTAGTGTATCACTGTACCATTTTCTGTCCAGATGGGATTTCTTTTTTTAGTTAAAAAAAAATGTCTGCATATCACACTTATTTAAAGCCGGCTTGAAGCTACTATATTCTACAATACGTTTTATTTGAAAATTAAAAAAAAAAAATTGCGTGTGAAGTATTGTAGAAGAATTCAACTTGTAGCATTAAATGTTTAATTATAAGTATAATTAAAGATGGCATAGAAAGTCATTTATTACAAAAAGTAAAATCTTAGTCATTTAGTATCTGAAACACATCTTTATTTTATAATCTTCTTTGTAGCAAGTTTGTCTAGATAAAATAAGCCCCATGTTAAATTTTTTTAAATACCAAAAAAAGTTTTAAATTTTTCCAGTAAAATCATTATTAGATATTCACAGAAGAAAATAGAAAATGCAGATTGTGAAATTGAATCTTCAAGAAAACTTACTGAGTTTCAAAAAGAATTATTATTTTTTTTTACTCTTTTTCATTTCCATTCATGCCTGCACTTCATGGTTCTAATACATAACAGGAGAATAGTATTTTTATTTCTTTTTTATTTTTTGGCAATTTGGGGAAGCTTTACAAATTTCAGATTAGTTCTTTACAAATTTACAATTCAACATTTCCAATTCTTGTATTGAGACTCCCCCACTTGTTAAGTGTTCTTCCTAATCCAAATTTTGGCCATTTCAATCTCTTCTTTCATTTAACCATTTAAATAAATTAGAATACGCTGCCCACACTCACAACACACAGGCACACACACAAATAATAGAGAAGCATGTCAGACTTATTTGAGCATTAAAAAAAAAAAAAACCAAAGAATTTATTTTTGGAAACAATTGGCCAAAACTCTAACTTCTTTGTTTCTTATAATACACCATGTAAATTTTTATATCTGCCACATGGTAGTGAGCCTACAAAGATTTATTTTTTACTATAGGTTCTTTAAATACTTACTTATTAAATATCTAAAGCTACTCCACACAGTGTGGTAATGTGAGTTTGGGAGAAGTAAAATATTGTTGGCTGAATAACTTGTTGAGCAATCTCAATAAGCGAAGCCCTTATTATAAAATAGTCACAGTTAACTGTGATAATTGACAATGCCTCTGATCATTATATGATCATCATAAAAATCTCACAAGCCTTGGCCTTATTTCCAATTTTAACAAATATGTAAAGAAGTTGGAATAACCTATTTTAGTAGTATCGTAAGAGAATTAGACTCTGGCAGCAATTTTATCACACTGATGTTTTATATTTACCTATCAAATGAAGTGGAAAGTAATTACTTTAAAATTTCAAGTCAGACAATTTAAAATTTACCTTGTTTTTCAACAAGAGTTATATGGCTTTTAGTGTAAATAGATACTTAGAGAAAAAAATAAAGCTTTGCACTGTATCTTTTATTTACAGATATGAAACTAGGTTAAATACTTTAAAACAATCAATATGAAGAATTTATAAAGAAAATACTTAACCTTTGAGCACAACAAAATTGCTAATAGAAAGGGTATACTGTCGAAGATAGAAATTTCCATAAATATATTCACAACTGGTATATGTTGCTATAAGCTGCTATAAGCAAAAATGTTTTCATGTTTATCCCTAACAAAGTATCCTAAGTATCTGGGAGCAAAATAGCTTTAAAAGAAAAAAAACACAAAATATAATTATTGGATGCTCTAAATAAGTTAGGAATAATGTTGAAGTTTCATGGAGGGGAACAGTATAACTTCTGTGCTGTATCTGATGTTTATATTTTACCCTTATTCTAGCATAAAAACCTTTTTTGTTCTGCTTTCATTTTTTATCATTTAGGTGCCTTGACCCAAGCCATTCGAAATTTTGCAAAAAGCCTTGAAGGTTGGCTTTCCAATGCCATGAACAATATTCCACAGAGAATGATACAAACCAAGGTACACTTTGTCTTGTCTTTTCCTTCAGTATTTAAAAAACATTTCTTCATGTAAACAGTTATCTCATAATTAGTATGTCCGAAATGTAGAATAATACACATAGCTAGAGATATTCTATCTACAGATACTCCATATGGCCTTATGTATTAACTCTAGTATCTACGTTATCCCCTACCTGCCATGTTACGTTATTTTAGGTTGGTCTGTGAACATATCCCTATAGCAAGATTGAACTGATTCCTTATTTTCTGAATTTTGGTACCAAAAGTCACATTTATATCATTTAGCTAGTGAGGTTTTTTTTTTTTGGTAGCATAGGCAGCTGCCACTTTTTGTGCTTTCACTTACAGTTTACAACAAAATTGCAAAGATTAATTTTTTATTGCAGGTTCTTTAAGCACTTATTTATTACATATCTAAAGCTGATCCACCCAGTGTGGTAGTGTGAGTAGGGGAGAAGTAAAATACTATTGACTGAATAACTTGTTGAGCAGTCTCAATAAGCGAAGCCCTTATTATAAAATCGTCACAGTTAACTGTGATAATTAATGATGCTTCTAATCATTTTACTACCATCATAAAATCTTTTATGAGTCTTAGCCCTATTTCCAGTTTTAACAAATATGCAAAGAAGCTAGAATAACCAATTTTAGTAGATCATAAGAGCATTAGTCTTATGATAAAGACTTTTTCATAAGAGTGTTATGGCGATTGAACATTATGTGTGAGACACCTAACTGAGTATCTAGTACATAACATGTATTCAGTTAATTTGGCATAGAAATAAAAAACAATGTAAGATTCCCTTTTCATGATATGTGAGTTCCCCCAAAGTTCCATATAGACATAAAACATCTCACTGTCAAGATAGAACATTCTGGCTGGGGAGAGGGCTCAGTAGAATAAATGCTTGCCTGGCTAATGCAAGGGCCTGAGTTCAATCCTTGGTTCTGAAAAAAAAAAATGATAGAACTTTCTGGTCAGTGAGCTAGCTCAGCAAACTAAGTGCCTGATAGGCAAGCACAGGGACTGGAGTTCAAACCCTGGCACTACAGGACATGCTGGCCCAGGCATGCTGAGCTGGCGACCATTTGCAGGCATAGTGGCACACAACTAATCCCAGCACTGGGCAAGCTGAAAACAGGAGGATCACTACAAGTCAGAGCTGCATAGTGAGACCCTGTAACAAATACATTAAAACAAAAAAAAGATAGAACATTCTTTTCTTGTGTACACATTTGACCACTCAACTAACTGAGCTTTAACCGCGTGCTTAAATGTTCATAAAAACTTAATGCAATGCCGTATATTTCTATATGTTAAAGTTCTTAACATATTTTAAAGAGCTAGCATCATCAGATCCATTAAGTGAACCCTACCAGTTTCTATTTCTAAGAATTAGATATTTATCTAGGCTTTTGGTATTAATTTGGTGACTTTCAGCATAAGCTAGTATATTTGGTATCCCACAAGAAACCAATGATATATTGGGGAGAGAGAATTATTAAAGAGATCTTGAGTTTATTTCTGTTGCTATGAATGAAGTTGAGAAAACCGTGGAGGAATAGTTAAGAAATAGAATAGAAATCCCAATTAAGATAAGGTTTAAAGTGGGAGAAAGTATGAAAGCCGTGGCATGGAAAACCCCCTTCCTCCAGGACCCTTAGCTTTAGAAAAGGGAAGCAGTTACTATTCAGAGAGGCAGAGGACAGAAGCTGGGAAGACTAGGTATTCTGATCGCTGTCTTCCCGTCCTTCGGTCTCCTACCAGTGCCTGTCATTCATCAAACCACTGGGGTCTGGAGGACAAGTGAGGTGGTTAGTGTGATTTTGAGATTTAGTCATGTCAGCCTTCTTGGGCCAGAGTAGGACAGACAAAAGCAGAAAATAGATGTTGACAATCAAGTAAAAATTTCCTTTATAGCCCTGTTAAGGAATTCAAATCCTGAGAGTTCTAGTTGCTTATCTCTGATAAATGTACTGTTATAAAAGCTGTGAACTCTCTCATTTTTGCCTCAGTGTCACTGTGTTGTTAAAAATGTTGTAAAAATGAATCTGAATTGTAGTACTCTGAAAAGTATTTTTAATGCAATTTTTAAAAATGAAACTCTGTATTTTTCACTTACAGTTTTTTATTTGCCTGTTTCCTGTTTGCCCTAAAAACGTTGAAAAAGAAATAAAAAGCCATTTCCCCTACTTCACTAGGAAAAGTGATTTCTTAATGTGGATGAGTAGTTACTTGCAAAACTGCTTTTAATTAATGCTTCGCTCGGATGTTGAAGAATGTGGGAGTTTGTTTTAGTCTTGACCTCAGTGTATTCAAAAGGAAAATAATTCTTAGTTTTAAGAGATTTAAATGCTATAATGTAGAACTAAGTTCACCAAATGAATTTGAAGTAAGTGTCAAAGGGAAGCATTTACATTTGGCAGAGGAAGAAAGATTGGAAGATTACAGTGGTTTATTTTTCTGGAAGGAAAAGCAGCCTATGCTTACTTGGATTTCTTTACAGGTTGCCGCTGTAAGTGCCTTTGCCCAGACTCTGCGAAGATACACGTCGCTCAATCACCTGGCCCAGGCAGCTCGCGCAGTACTTCAGAACACCTCCCAAATCAACCAGATGCTCAACGACCTCAACCGGGTGGACTTTGCCAATGTCCAGGTAGTCTTGTTTTCCCAAAAAGTGTGTCTTTAAAAAAATATATGTATATATATATATATATTCTCTCTCTCTCTCTCTCTCTCTCTCTCTCTCTCTCTCTCTTGTCTTTTATATTATGTCTTATATATATTGAGTTTTTTTCATACAAGAGAAACCAGGCGTTGTTTGGGCTTGTGCGTCTTGAGTTCCTTCACTGTACTCTATTTACTTTCCTAAACTAAGACCATCAAATTTCTTTTCAAAGTCTGCAGTGTACACAGCTACATCTATATCCACAGTATCCCAGAAAGGAAGGTTTACCCAGCTATGACTTTACTACATCTGTGCTTTGTGGTTTAAGTCTGCTAAAACATGTAGTCCTGTGAGGCAACATAATACACCCAGGAAGTGCTAGATAGGTAAAGAACAGTGATGACCACAGACTTCAAAGCTAGGCAAGAAATTAAACTCCCTCATCTGTTGTCTGTAAGATCTTGGGCAAGTTACTCAATTTCTCAAGGCTTTACTTTCTCAGGGTTGGGGGTACTTTCTCATCTTATACCATCTATCCTTCAGTTAGTTTACATATTTAGTAATTTTTACCATGTCAAGCAGGGAGACAGTTTTCATTATTGTACTAACCCACCTTAAAGGGGCAAACAAAATTCTATATAAAAAATTGCCCCGGTAATATTTGTTCCCTTGAAAAGTATTAGGTATAATAAGTTGGGCTACCTTATAGTTTAAATTTAAAAAAAAAAAAGCTTTTACTCTCATTACGAAATTACATTACTCATGGGCTAGAGATATAGCTCAATGGCACAGTGCCTGCTTAGCAAGTTCAAGGTTATGAGTTTAATTACTAATATCAATAAAATAAAATAAAATTATTTTACTCCTTTATACTTTAAAGTATACTTTTAAAAATAAGTAATTTCAGAATATTATTTTAGAATTCTAACAAATTTTATTTCTGATGCTGAAGTAGTAAACCTGATTGTTATCCATATTTAAAAAAAAATATCATTGCAAATCTAAAGCATAAGGAACAAAAGAAAAAATACATAAGCTGAACATAATCAAAATTTAAAACTTTGGAGAGTCAAGAAAATGGAATGCCAGGAATGCTCACAGAATGCCAGGAAAGTTTTGCAAATCATGTGTCTCATAAAGGAAGTATGTATAAAGCTGGGATGGTGGCTCATGTCTGTGATCCCAGAACTCAGGAGGACAAGGCAGAAGGATTGCTGTGAGTTCGAGGCCAGCCTGGGCTATATAGAGAGACCCTGTCTTGAACAAACAGAGCCTGTGTATAAAACTATTACAAAGGGCTGGCCAAATAGCTCTGGATTAAAGCACCTGCAAGCAGGCGCAGGGGCCAAAGGTTTGATCCACGGGCCTGCGGTGCCTGCCCCGCCCCTGAGGGGGCACTAAAACAGCAGTTTAGACTAGATGTGGTGGCACATGCCGGTAATCCCAGCTCTTGGGAGGCTGAAAATGGGTGGATCACTACTGAGTCCAAAATAGTAGTGAGATGCTGAACACCCTGTAAATCCTTCCCTAAAATACAGCAACAACAACAACAATAAAAACTATTACAATCCAATAATAATAAAAATCTGATTTTAAAATGACAAAAATCTGAATAGATGTTTCTTTAAAAAGAACTTTTCAATAAGCACCTGAGAAGATGTTCAGCATTACCACCAAGAAAATGCAAGTAAAAACCACAAGGAGATACTCTACTTCACACATACCAAAATGGGTATAATAACAAAGACAGATAATAATCACCTTTAGTAAGGTTGTGGAAAAAAGGAACCCTCATATACTTTTTTTTTTTTTTTTTTTTTTTTTTTGGAACCGGGGGTTGAACTCAGGCCCTTGGGCTTGCCAGGGAAGCGCTTATTCCACTGAGCCATCTCCCCGGCCCCCTACACTCTTGGTATAAGGTAAACTGCTACAGCCCCTTTTGAAAAACGTCTGGAATTTCCTCAAACATAGAGTAAAGCAAACATACAGTTGAAAGATTGCTAATTCTGCCTTTTTTTATGAAAGAAAAAATTGAAATAAATCTCTGTTTTGAGTTCTGTTATATAAATAGGGTATATTCAACCTATGAAATAAACTTATTCTTTGAATAATAAATATAGCTCTATATTTCCCCAGAGAAAAACATACTCATATATCATTACATTAAACAAAATACTTAGAATATGTATGACCCATTTTTAATTCTACTTACTATGCAGAAGAATAAATATAAAATGTAAATACTCATAAATATGAGTAAATTAAATGTAAATATTAGACATGTTATATGTACATAAATAACAGAATATACATGTATTATAACATAGACATACACTTTTATGTGGATGTGTAAAGGTTTTAACATCAACATATTACATTTTAGGCATAATATTCTCTTTTTTCTGTATTTGTATTTTCAGTTTTTTCTCTAATCCTATTTTATAATACTTAAAATATTTGAAAGTGATATTTAAGGGATGAGAGCTAAAAGAATTTATGAAAGAATTAGAAAATAAAGAAAGTTACTCAGTGGTATTGTCAGTTGAGAATTATAAAATGAAATACTTCTGGGTTGAGATGACGCTAAAATAGGTAAAGTCAGTAAGATGCGGTAAGATGCTGGAACTAAAAGAATGGAAATATTATTAGTTAAAAATTTTCAGCTTGGTTAATCAATTTACATGGAACTGTCTGCTGAAAGCGTATAGAGTAAAAGCTTTAGACATTGCTGACAAAAATCACAGATGTGTTCTTGTTAGTTATATAAAATTAGGACCTTATAAATACTCTGTTAAAGAAGCCCATCTTTAAACAATGATCTGAGCATAATCAACCCAGTTTTTAAATTCTTGTTAAATTTCATTTCTCTATTTTTATACTCCAGAAAACTGATGCTCACACAGATAAAATTGCTTCACATTGGCTCAGTTGACTGAGGATCTAGATTTAAATCTTTTTTTCTCTCACTGAAATATTGTATTGGCCAAAAATTATACTTTGACCTTGAAAGAACAGGATTTTTTCCTTTTAGTCTTAAATACAACATAAGACAGACAATGTCATAAAGCTAATGGCAGCCACTGAACAGTAACTGGAAGTTCCTCTTGTCATTCTATTACTGACTATGGAACTTCCCAACCAAACTTGAAGAAAGATTAAGGAGTCAAATTCCTTGGCAGGTAGCATGTCAGTATCTTTTCAAGAGTTTTTGTTGTTGATAATGTTGGTTATTTTCAGTTTTGTGACTTAATTTGCATTCATAACTCTAAAGATAGCCTTTAGGATTTCTGTTCCCAACCTATAAGCTTACACAAGCATATGTGTCACCCCCTATCATCACTAAAATGTTTCATTTTCTTTTAATCCTGAGGGATCACTTTTGGCCAGTTGAATCTGTTTATCCATATGACTTATCTTACATCTTCTCAAATGAATTGATTTTAAAATTTTATCTGAAGGAGAGAAAAAAAAAATCTTCGGAAGGTAGTATGAAAAGAATAAGATGAAGAGTCCAGGTGTGGTGGCGCAGACTTGGAATTCCCACACTGGGGAGGCTGAAAACAGGAGGATCACTACAAGTCAGAGCCATTTAGGAAGACCGTGTACCAAATACATAAATTTAAAAAAAAAAAGGTGAAAAGGCCTTCACCCTGTATGTTTAGACTTCTCTTCTTAAACAACTACATATTCTACTTTTTTAATTGGACTAGCTAATGTAGGAAAAACAAAAATCATGCTTGTATGTTGCATCAATCACTTTTTACCAGAATGAGCAAAGAGAAATAGTTGTGCATTTCATTGATTCCCTGAACTCTTTGCAGCTTATAATTTCTATCTATGCATTGGTCTATGTGCTGACATTCAATCAAAAGATACTGAGTTGAGTTTTCCCTTTGCTGTCCACGCACTGTCCCAGGAGCAGGCTTCCTGGGTGTGCCAGTGTGACGACAGCATGGTTCAGAGATTGGAAACGGACTTCAAGATGACTCTTCAGCAGCAGAGCACCCTGGAGCAGTGGGCTGCCTGGCTGGACAACGTGATGATGCAAGCGCTGAAACCCTATGAAGGAAGACCCAGTTTTCCAAAAGCAGCCAGGCAATTTCTGCTGAAATGGTCTTTCTACAGGTATTGTCTTAATTTCAGCAAATGTATGTGTATGTGCCTGCTTTTCAGACAAAGAAATGAATAAAACTTACTGCTGTAACTCAGTCATTGGTGTTGTAGAAATGAACCAAGAAAGGTGAAGAAAATAAACATTCTCCTAGGAAAGGATGTTGTACGGCTCAAGGCCCTAGAAGTTGTTAGATGGGACTACCTGAGATTGCAATGTAGAAAATGTGTTAGACAGTAGTCAGAAAAGGGCCACAGTCCTCCCTTTAATAATTTACTTTATTTAAGCTTTTTTTCTTAAGGCATTAGTATTACTCTTTTTCTAGGCATTTTGTTTGTTTGTTTTGTAGTCCAGGAGATTGCACCCAGGGCCTTGTGCATGCTAGCAAACACTCTACTAGGAATTACATTGCCAGCTCTCACACCACTCTTTCGTTCTGTTCATGATCCCAAAACTATTGTCCCTACACCAGTAGCATTGCCGCCTCTTGGAGACATATCAGAAGTGTAAATCTTTATGTCATTCCCCAAACCTACCTTTGGAGGTACAGTCCAGCAGCCTACGTTTTGAAGACTTCCAAATGATTCTGATACATACAAGGACCATGTATGTGATTTTATAATCTCCAAAATTACAGCTGTTTATAGACCTGACTGCACACCAGAAAATTAGAATTAATATTTTAAAACTTCTAGGTTCCCTCTCAAGCAATTACAATCATGGCAGTTAGGACATAGGGATTAGGAATGGATAGTATCAGGACGAAGATTTGTTGTTTTGCTTTCTAAAAAGTTCTCTTGGTGATTCTGATATATGACAATATCTAGAAGATAGTACTGTAGCTTCTTAATATGAACCATTTTTAATTAAAATAATGTAGATAAAGATGAATGTTTTCATAGGCATAGAAACAGAGGGCTTCTGAGGAGAAAGGGCTTTCTGATTATATTATACATGATAGCAAAGATCAGGTAACTGACTGTAGCCCTCCTACAAGGGTGCAAACAGCATCTGTGATCTGTGTTGGTCGGTATTGATATGATGTTTATGTAGGATAGAATTGCAGGATGGACTTGTATTTCATAAGATAAATTACGTAAGTAATATTTTTAACCTGGGAATTTATTGTTCTATTATATGAGTTTATGTTTTGCTTCTTCAGATAGAATTCAAAACTGTAATTTGGGAACATTTCCTAAAAGGATTTCAGATACTTTCCTGTTTGCTCAGGAATCATTCCCTTATTCATTAATTTTCCCAGAAAATAATATAAATAGTATGTGTGTTCCATGAATGATTGATCAAGCAGCAGTCACACTGACTGGCTCTTCTGAAATTTACATAACCAAAGATAGTCTATCTTTGCCTCACACAAAAAAAAGGTTTTTTTCTTTTTCTTTTTTTTCCTTTCTTTTGCTTGCTGTGTTGTTAGTTTCAGACTTACCTTTACTCCTTCTTGTGGATTATCTTTTTCTCTATATTTCATTGATATAATTTTAGAAATACACCCCTAGAACCTTCATCTCCACAGAGATCTTTTCTAGGTAGCTTGAAAGGAGAGAAAATTACTTACTTGTGTTTCTTGTTCTCTGCAGATATACAAACACAGTAGATCGTCACTTCCCTGCCCTCCATCTTCCCTGAGCTGGGAATAATGGGCTTGTTATTATTAGACACTATTACAGTTATTATTTTCATTTCAAAAGGACTTAAAGGTGTACAGTTTGGGGCCACAGAAGAAAGGCACATTTAGACAGATGCATACCTCCTACTGGTACGCAAAATCAATAGCTGAGAAACCTAAGACCTTAGGTTTGTCTGAACTGCTTTTAACTGAGGCATTAGAACATAGTGAGTTATGAAAACTGTATTCATGAACCATATGAAAATCAGAATTAGAGCACTTTAAAAAATGATGTTGGCATTATAAATGCCAAAATTTGGTAAATTTGTAAATGCCATTGTGAATTTAGATGTTACATGCAGACCCTTCATACTCTGATATCAGATACTTAATCTCATTCATTTCTAAAATTCTATATACATACTTAGAAATGTGGAAATGAGGGCCTGTGAAATAGCTCAGCAGGCTGTTTAGGCCAGCACATGGACTGGTGTTTGGTCCCTGGCACCACATGCAGTGCCAGCCTCTCCCCCAGGTGTACCACTGAGACTGGTCTTGGTGGCTCACACCTGTAATCCCAGTGCTGAGGAGGCTGAAAACAGGAGGATCACTACAAGTCAAGTGAGACCCTGTACCAAATACATTAAAGAAAAAAAGAACCCTGGGTTCAGTCTTAAGCACTACAAAATACAGTAAAAAATAGAGAACGAAATACAGGCTGGATGTGGTGGCAGAGACAGGAGGATTGCCACAAATTCAAGGCCAGCATGGGCTACATAAGTGGTTTCAAAGCCATTCTGTACTAAATAGTAAGACCCTATCCCCCCCCAAAAAAAAAAAGAAAGAAAAAGGAAAAAGAAAAGAAAAGAAAGAACAAAATGCATAGCTTTGATACTGTGACTTGAAAAAGAGTACAAGGAGCCTTGTTTACCCACAAACACTAGACAGTATGAGTTTTTCCCAAAGAATAATGCTCTTTGAATTAGCTGCTAGACTGAGAATTCACAGGGGTGTCACAGGCACTGATGCTGTAACCTGCAGAGAGGCAAGTGTGATGAGTAATATGTGCTAAGGGATATGTGTAATTTTCATGCAGTAAATTATGAGGATGAATACACAAATGTATTTTTGGCCATTATATAATAATTAAGGTTTATAATTCTGATCTTAAAAATAGTTGAGTACATGATAACTTAGCATAAACGTATGACAATAATTTCATTGTGTGCTTATTAGTATTTTTTTAAAAGAAGGTATTAATTTGGGCTGGGGAGATAGCTTGACGGTCTCTTAGACCAAGCATCTGCATGGCAAGTGCAAGGACCCGGGTTCAGTCCCCAGTATCACATGCTGTGTTGGCCCCACACTAAGCTGGCCACGGAAAGCAGGTGTGGTGGCACATGCCTGTAATCCCAGTGCTGGGAAGGCTGAGACAAGAGGATCACTATGAGTCTGAGCTGCTGCATGCCAAGACCCTGTAAAGATTTTTTAAAAAAAGAAAGTAATTATACTTGAGAGGTAACAGATTTTTAAAACTTTCCAACAGAATTTAGTATTACATGTACATATTGTATTAAATAAAATGATTGCCTAATGGCTTGAAAATTTCTGGCATACTTGTGGTAAAATCCAAAGGACTACATAGCCTACAAGATGAGGTCCAGCTACTAGGTACCCTGCAGACCTTATGACATCCTGTGTGTCACTGTCCTTTACCCACATCTGCCTCCTGGCCTTTCTGTGACCATGCTGTAGCTCTGCCTCAAGATCTTTGGGTTTACTCTCTTTTCTGCTAGGAAAATTTCACCTGTGCATTCCTGTCAATTTTCCCTCACTTCAGTGCATTTTCTACAGATATCGTCAGCTCCTCCAAAAAACATTTCCTGACACCATAACTTAAATGCCTGTCCCCGTTACTTTCTAACTTCAAAATGTGATTTGTAGGATTTATCTCTGCCTAACATTATATTTTACGTATATTGTGTGTTAAATGACTCCCTCATTTACTAGTTGTGAACTCTGCTAAAACCAAAATTTTGTCTACCCTGTTCTAAAACAAGACTGTAGCACAGAGTGGGCACAGAGGAAATATCTATTAAATGAATAAGTGTGAATTATTTTGCAAAATTTAATTGACTGTGCATGTCTATAATGATAACAGAAAACTGTTTACTGTGAACATTCTCCTTAATTAATTCATGATTTCACTATATTTTAACAGAAATATCAAGGCTTGAAATTTGAATTTAGAAATAAAGAGCTAATTTATTTTATGTGTCATATTTGTCTGGAAAGATTAATAATCAACTTACTCAAGATTGTTTTTCTATAATATAATGTCATATTTTGAAACAGATATTTTATTATTAAATTAATAAGGGATAGGATTAGAAAAATCTAGAAGTACAAAAACTACCAAAAGAATAAACTATAAAGACTCATAAGTTTACTATTCAGAAGAAGAAACACTATCAAAACATTTTATTTTAGTATTAAATAGAATTGCGATCCAGTTGTTTATCAAAGATAATTAATTATATTTTCCCCTAAACATTTTTCATTTAACATTTAACATTGTATACTTATCATTTCTTGTTATTAAATATCTTTGGAAACATACAGTAGTGCCCTCCAAGGTCCCCAGAGGATGCCTGCCATGGGAGGTAGTACTGAACTATATATGGCTGTAACTGTAACTATATCCACACACACATTTTTTACTTTTTCCTGTACATAGGCACATACCTAAGATAAAACTTAATTTATAAATTAAGTATAATAAGAGACTAAAACAATAACAGAAGTTTTAATAATGTACTGTTAAAAAGGTTATATGAATGTGTTTTTCTCTCTCCAAGGCTTATTGTGCTTGCACTTACTTTGTAACAGTGAGAGATGATGCAGTGCCTATGTGAAAAGATGCAGTAAGATAAATAATGGACCACTGTGAGGTACCATAGTGCTAGGCAGCAGAATGAGGGTTGCTTAACACAAGCGCTATCGTACTTCCACAGCTGATCTGGATAAGCAGTGCAGTTACTGAATAAATAACAGGTGAGACTCATATGCAGCTTGGATACACTCAACAAAGGGGTGTTTCATTTTGTGAGCAGGACAGTAAAGGACTGCACAAAATTTCATCAAGCTACTCAGAATGGTGCCTGATGTTAATTAGGAGTATCTATTTCAGGGATTTGCTATTTAAATATTTAAGCCTGTGATTGCCCACAGGTAACTTAAATCAGAACAATTTCACTTTCTGTAAGTAAATGGGCTACTATAATTTTGAATGTCGTCAGGTTATTCCATTATATGCATGTATCATACCTTATAAAAATATCCTTATTCTCTTATTTTGAGCATTTATGTTTTTTCAGTGTTTTGAAAGAG